AGCTGCCAATGTATGACATAAAAGTGAGGGTTGCGTACCTTTCATGCATTGTCCCTGAAGTCCTGACTTTTTAGCTGAGTTACCGAAAGAGGTCCTTCTGCATCTTTTGCTCTATTATAGCCATACTACTTTACATTAAACAAAGACCACTTCTCATATAGCATCACGCTTACAAACATAAAGGTGCCTGTATCTCCGAACTTTACAATGAAATGTGGGGTTTTTATTAGAGCAATGTGCTCGGCTTGGCCAACTGCACCTTGGGTGCAAGTTTCACGATCAAGCTTGCCAATCCCAGATTTCGCAATGTCGCCACCAGCCAAACTGGATCAGGGGGTCGACCTCTTCGACGGCGACGACCAAAAAAATATTTTTTGGGCTGTTTGCGACATTGAACGCGAAACTTTCACACAAGGTGCTGTTGGCCAAGCCGAGCACATTGCTCTAATAAAAACCACACGTTTCATTGTAAAGTTTGGAGATACAGGCATCTTTATGTTTTACCTATGCTGTAAGCGTGATGGAGTTGCTTTTTCCTAGTGGATGGTGTCGGCTGCATTAACGGAAAGATGAAGAGCTGAGTGAGACGGCACGTGGTGGTTACACAGACCCGTCCTTGACAGGTTGCTACACAAAATGGATGATGATGATGATTGTCTTTTGTGAAGGTACGTAAGTAAACAGCATCCAATAATGAAGGTGTGTCAAGGTATGTATCAAATTTGCATGTAGAAGAAAGTCGAGCTGCATAAACCAATTTGTATATGTAAAAAGATACGTATACATGTTGAATGAGTCACTCATCCTGAAACTCAATGGAGGGATCTCTTCACTTTTTCTCTTCTCAAGCTCATCCCACTTCCCACTCCTCCTTATTGTATCGCAAAAGCCATGTACTTCTTGCATGACCGATAACCGGACCACCTTTATTATTCCATCTTCGAAGCAATAGTATGTAATCCACAAGCTAGCAAAGTCCAAGCGTGTAATAAATAAACAATGCTTTATTTCACCTAGCTGTCTTGCTACATTGGTACCACCATCCTCGTAGTCGTCGTCTGTGATCATTCGCACTCGTATCCATCAGCAGTCGTCAATCTCATCCGTCACTCCAATATCAAAAACACACAAGTTGAAAAGAATGGGATCTTGCAGGCTTCCTTCTGAATCTCGTTGTCATCATCATTGTCATTGTTGTAGATGGGGTGATCATCGTAATCGTCATTGTTGTGAATGTGGTAATGATCGTAATCGTCGTCTCTATAAATAAGAAAGCAGGCAAGTTAGACCATCTTCTGGTACCAGAATGATGACGATTTGGTATACCGTTATTAGGCGATCCTCTCAAAGGAAGAAAGCAAATAAGAAGGAATTCGCAAACCAAATCACCACCATACGAGCAACGTCGGACGATCCCTTGTTCTTGAGAAATCACTGCACGATTCACTTAAATCCGGTTCGATCCAAATTGCCCATCCTTGTTCTCATTCATCCTTTCTAAAGAAAGAAGTATCCCTCTCATCTTTCCAATTCTCAAAAGTAACCACCAGCATATCACGAGAAGAGCCTATCTTGCGCATTGATGATGTCAAACGGCCAAAAGGTATAGGGTTGGGAGATTAAACCAATAAATGATCCTTGCATTGACCCTTTGAAACGATATCCCTTGCTGCAAGGAGCATGTCATGGTCCGTGCACCAGAACTAGCCTTCAATGCGTGATACAATTCACAGCGATCACCCATTTGTGCAACCACGTCTATCCTCTACGTATGCAAAGCTTCATCCTACCATAGAATTTTCTCTTCAAACCACTCTGACAACATGGTGTTAGCATCCTGTGGCTCTACCAGCGTACGGTTCATCCGAAAAAGTTGTTGTCAAGGATCATACTTGGCATCTCTTTCCTCGAAAACATACCATAGGCCGATATCTTTGGTGTCATTGGAGCGCAATCCTGACATGAAGCTAGCATCTTAATATCAAATAAGCGATCGATCTTTGGCTAAGGGTATCTTTATCTGCAACAAGTGGTGCCACTAGAATGTTGTATACATCAATGTACAGAGTGCGCGTGCATTTATTGACAAAGCTTGGATGATGGTAAGGGGATGTTGGGTATGTGCATGATTGAATGATGATGGAGGATATGTGTAAACGTGCGGGTGTTTGTACAAATCTTCAGCTTAGCCGCTTGGTCAACTTTTTCCATGAACGAGCCATTCGAGTGTAAAACGTTTGGCTTTCTTTGGTGTCTTGCTCTTGTCGACGTATAGCATTACCGAAATTGTTCTTGCGAATTTCCATCACTTTACGAGAGACACGATCAAGGGATTCGAGAGTGAGAGCGAGTGCTGAAGTAGGATGCATGGTAAAATTGGATGATGATGATCGTCGTCGATGCTGAGTTGTATAAAAGTCATCTTTTGGTGGAAGTGGTGGTGGTGGTGGAGAAGAAGATGGGATGGGAGGCAAGTAGTGATGATGCTGATAATCGATAAAGCATGATGAACGAAGGAAACCACTGTCAAAGGAGCCACTCAATCTACGTTCAAGCGATTGTAGATAACATTCATCTTGGTTTTTGTTGGCTACAATACCAACAGCGTACCAATCAAGAAGGTCATCGGAATAACCACTTGAAGATCTACTTGATGATGCTGTATGGGCGAGTTCGGGTGCGGATGATGATGATGTGGTAGTGGTGGTATGCGGTGGTGGTGGTCGAATCGGTATCGGTAACGGCTTATCCAGCCGAAGAGGCTCAGTAAATGATGATGATGATAGTGGTAATCGATGTGCGGCTGTGTCAAGAAGTCTTACAATATCCATGTGATGCTTGGCAATAGCAACGTCGTGAGGAGTTGATCCATACTTGTCCTTGACATGGATGGTAGCACCATTGCGTAGTAACAAGTCAACAATCCGGATGCATCCATTCGCACAGGCCACATGCAGTGCTGTTGATCCTGATGATTCAATCCCTCGTTTAGTGGTCCATCTACAGTCATCCTCCTTGTTAGCTACCATGACTTGTATAAAGAAAACGATATTACTTGCCTTTGAGCATTCACTTGTGCCCCACGATCAATGAGATACTGTACAGCTGCAAGGTTATTGTCACTGACGCATGCAAGTTGAAGCGGCATGAACCCATTCACAATGGCGTCGATCGCTGCTCCATGATCAAGTGCGAATTTCACAAGTCCTTGAATTGCGATGAAGAAAAAGAGAAAGCAAGTGAATATGATGGTTGACGATTTTGCGTGGGGGGTAAATTCTTCTTACCAACGTTGCCTGTTGTTGCTGCATGATGCAGGTCGTATTGGATATGATGTTGACTATAATCATGCATGAAAGTAAAAGAGAGAGAGAGAGAGAGAGAAGAAGAAGAAGAAGAAGAGAAGGGGAGAGAGAGAAAGCGAGAGAAAGAGAGCAAATGAATGGCGTTGAGGGTGATGACACAAAGACACGTACACACACACACACCCCATGTCACCCAACAATAACAATGGTCGCGTGGTCAATGCGTGGTAACCACTAGCAAGCTATTAACTGGCTCTTTCCCATAACATGTAATAGGGGGTACTACACATGTATACTTCTTCTTATCTTAAAACCATAATGTATCCTTTCTCATACTAAAAACTTCTGCTTCTTCCAACATGCATAAGTAAGGATCGACATTTTTTATGCAGCCAAACACCCAGGGAACAGGTCCCACACTATTTTGTTTCACCGACTCGCAAGGGACCCACACCACTATCACCGCTCCCATTCGGTTGGTTGATACCCCATTAACCCTTGCATCATGCAACGATATCACCTCTTCTTCATGGGTGCATTCACTGAGACAAATTAAAGCTTTTTTCATAATCAGCGTTGTCCGTGCACTCTCATCAGTAATTGGAAGAATGTTCCATGTAAATTGGCTATACTCCTCCTCCTCCCTGTCATCATCGCATCCACAAGAGGAGAGTAGAAAAAAAGGGACCATTGATCAACACACACTTGTTAATGAATGCATGTACCAAGACTTTACCTGGTAATAAAAATGCTTGGCCTTGGATCAAATATATCTTTTTGTGCCACCAAGGGCTTTTCTGTAGCTGTATACATTACCTGGAAAGTCGCATTTACAACCCACAAGCACAACCCTCCTCTTGTATATTGTACATCTCTTTCTCCTTGGACAACAATGAATTTGTACTTTGTGAGCTATACGCTCGTGATAAATAGCCTATACCATGATGAACGTTTGTGTACATGTATGCGTCATAACACCTCAAGACATCCAGTGTCCCCATGACCAGCTTCCATTTCTGATATTTGGGTTGATCGTGGAGAGCGAGATACGTAACAATAGAATCCAACATCACTCGCTCTCTAAAAGAAATCGCATGACTACCTTTTTACAACAGCCCTCTCTCTCTTTTTTTCTTCCTTTCTCCCCCATCTAAAATGTCCACTTGTTTCCATGCTGCGGCAGCAGACCGCTCTTACTACTATTATTATTACACGACCCGACACCGCCATCATTATCATTACAACAAAAAGTCTAGTACAACGTCGTTTAATCATCATGTGAAGTCTTCAAATTACAAGCCGTTATCATCATCATATCCACCACTCACTTTGGATGAACAAATACATGAATCATCCATTGCCAGGATCAAAAGTGAGCAACGTATCTTTGGTCCCAGATCACAATCACCAGTCGTTTGCATTCCTCGGCATCATATGCATGATAACGATAAGCTACAAAAACACCGATCTACAAATGAACGCCTGGCAAGAGGAATAGGGGCTGTGCCTTTTGTTGGCAACTATTCATGGAGCTGCGAATCTCGTGCAACCAGGCACGTGCACGATCCACTCGAAACCGTCACTCGTTTTGAATTATGGGATGACCTCCTCAATAATCGGTATAAAGGCATTGCTTTGTATGCGTATCTTTATGATATATACTCATCATCACATGTACGCTATCATATGTATGTAGACCCACCAAGCAAGATCATGCCAACAATAGCAATAATGAGATGCCTCCTATTTCAGCGTCATCTTCAACCGACATGTCACAATGCTCCATAGCAACTAGCACAGAATTATCAAGTATGGGTATTAGTAGTACTACTATTAAGTATGAGCCAACCAGCAGCAGTAAGTAAAGGTGCCCTATCAATCATGTTGTGAGTCCAACCCATACTATGTGTAGTGCCGATATGGGCAGATCCAGAACGTATTCATGCCCATCGTTCTTGTTATGAATACGTACAAGCTTACATGAAGACGCACAATATCCCATCCACATCTCCCATGCCGTTACCCAGTACCTATACGTTTTCATTCAGCAGCAAGAATAGTGATCAACCCACCACCACCACCACCACCACCACCACCACCATTTCAAGCATACATAGTAGCGCCAACGCTTACATCGCTTCGATCATGTCATTGTTTAGCTGCGATACGGTATGGCAATTTGCTTCATGTTGGCGTCAAGCCAAGGAATTGTATGGTTGGCCATCACGTTTAAAGGTGCATGAGAACCTGTATTGTTTCATCCATGGCGTGGCACCCATGTGGGAGGATGTCAGGAACCGACATGGTGGTCGTATGACTATTACTCTTGCAAAAGACATTGATGTTCTCTTTGAGTGGATTCTCATGTCCATGGTAGGTGGTAACCTCCAAGAATATGGTGCTGTCGGTGTTGTTCTTTCAAAACGTGTCCATGGTGATCGAATAGAGATATGGTTTGAAGGCACAGAAGATGGTTCACTCCAACAAAGATACGTGGAGAGAACAAAGTAAGTATACAAGAAGGATTTCAGCAATGATCATTATCATCAACAACTCACCACCACCACCTCCTCCTCCAGAGCTCGATTATGTAATCAATTGCCATCATTAGAATTCCATAACGCTATCATGGCTGCACGCTACAAGAAGCATTTCTCAAACACGAATAATAGACACATCCGCCTTGTAAATAATAAATGAACGATCATCCCTTTATGACAATGGCTGCATAGTAACCCTAGACTTGGAAATGCCTCACATCATGATGCGAACTTGAAAAGCATTGAGACCTATGTAGGATCATCCAGCAATGTTCATGTCATCCAACAACATCCTTGTCAATATCGTAGCAGTGGCAGTAGTAGTGGTGAGTTGGCATCCAGCGGCAGCATCAAGAAATTGACAACGGTGATATATGTTCGTATCTCGAATCTCGTGCTAGGAATATGATGGAAAGGCATTGCCTTTTATAGCCTCCTTTATGAATGTATGGATATAAAGACAATGGCGAGCTTTATCTTCAAGACTCTAAACCAACAAAGAGCGTTGCTCGTGGCAACCACCTTTTCTAATCACCTCTTGTATCCATGGTAACCACCCAACACAATGAAAACACCAAAAACACATTTTGATAGGCAAGGATATCTTATTAACAGGAAAGAAAAAACACCATGATGGCATTATAAAAAACAACTAAGGGAATCATTATTTCTTTTCAGGAGCCTTAGCAGCAGCAGCAGCAGCATCCTTCTTCTTTTCAGCAGGGGCAGCAGCAGCAGCAGCAGGCTTTTCAGTGGTCTTGGTAGCAGGAGCAGCCTTCTTGTCACCATTAACCTCCTTCTTTTCAGCAGGCTTGTCAGCAGGCTTTGCAGCAGCGGCATCCTTCTTTTCAGCAACAGGCTTCTCAGCTTCCTTCTTCTCAACAGGCTTTGCAGCGGCATCCTTCTTTTCAGCAGCAGCAGGCTTCTCAGCTTCCTTCTTTTCAACAGGCTTTGCAACAGCATCCTTCTTTTCAGCAGCAGCAGGTTGCTTCTCAGCTTCCTTCTTTTCAGCCTCCTTCTTGTCATCATTCTTCTTTTCAGTGGCATCCTCCTTGGTAGTCTCTTCCTCAGGCTCAACACGTTCAGACATGGCAATCTTTAGGTAAATAGCACGACCTTCCAATTCCACATCCTTGATATTGTCAAGAGCACGCTTTTGTTCTTCTTCCGAGACCAACTCCACAAAACCATAACCCTTGGAACGGCCACTCTTCATACGAGCAACTTGGGCAGAGTTGAACTTGTAGTTTTTGAAAACTTCAGCCAAACCTTCATCCGTAGTAGCATAAGGCAAGTTGGCTACAAATACAGTGGTCTTGGATGGCTCAGTGCGCTTAGCCTTTGCAGCACGCTTACGACGGTTACGATTCTTCTTTTTGGTGGAAGCAGTAGTATCCTCAGTGGTGCCAGCGGCATCACTTTCCTTGGCTGATGATGATGACACCTCCTTTGTCTTGGCTTCCTTGGTAGCAGCAGCATCACCATCTTCCTTTTTAGTAGCCGATGCATCGGTTTGGTCTTGTTGCTCAGAGGCAGCAGCAGCAGCCTTCTTCTTTTTGTTGTTACGACGACGAGTGACTCGACGGCGCTAATGGATAGAATGAGTTATCACCATCACGTTTATACAATGCTTTGATTTTACTTACCGACTTGCGAGCACGAGGAAGAGCTGATTCATTGTCACTAGATGTCTCAGGCTTCTTGTCGACATGGGTCTTTGGTTTTGCCACCTCGACATTCACCTCACGACCCTCAAGCTCCTTTTTGTTCAGCTCCTTTCTCGCCTTTTCAGCCTCGGCTGCAGTTTCAAATCCAACAAATCCATAGCCAAGAGAACGGCGGCCGTGCTTGATAATGGTCGCTTCAGTACTATTGGATAACAATTAGCACCACGTGATGTCCATATCACATCTTCCTCTTGTCATCCCAATCCACATTATACTTACACCTTGCCAGCGCTTTCGAAAAACTTGATCAGCGCTTCTTGAGTAGTCTTGAATGGCAGGTTTCCGACAAACACCTATTGAAATCCCATTCGAGTCAAAAATTGAATGATTTCATTCATGCATGAATGATATAATGGACTTACCTTGTTGTCTTCAACGAGCTCCTTCTCAACTGTAGGATGCTCGGCAGTCTTGGTAGCATCAACAGTTGGCTGTTCAGTCGTTACGGCCATGACGAACAAAGTAATGAATCTAAGAACAAGTAAAACGGGGTGGTGGGTGGTGTTGGGTGTTTGGAAAAGGGATGGACGAGTAGTAGTGGTGTGTAATGAACTGCACGCGTGAAATGTGAACCAGAGTAGTAAAAGAAGAAGAGAAAAAAACCCCCAAAGAACAAAAAGGCTCGCCTATAACACGGCCTTGGCAACGTGTCATCCATTCGATTGGAGGGCGGATGTCCAATGAGCCTGGTGCTCTGTTGTACCACTCTACATTGCTGCTGCGTAAACCATTCCCATGGTTACCAACCACCCTACTTCACATGGCGATTCTCTCGACCCAGTATCAATGCACGCTTATGCATGATAATAATATCCTCTTTACTTGACAGCATTAAAATCCTATATACAACCACAAATGACAAGTGGGGGGTTTCGAGGGGGTTGGATGTGGGTTTAACTGTAAAAAAAAAAAAAAGTTGCGTTGTCGGATGATGTTCCCCGAAGCCTAAGCAACAAAATGTGTTGCGCAGGCAACACAGCCAACAACTGTCACTCAATAGCAACGGGCGTTGCTAACGGAAATACACGGAGCCCCCTGCAGCTGCATGACACACACACACAACGCAACACAATTTTAAACATGTTCGAGGCATTTTTGTACCGGCAACATGGGTCACATTTCCCCCCGCTCGACCCAGCCTGCATAAGTTTGTCCTGGTATCTTCCACAAACACAACCATTTGCTATTGATTGACAACATTGTATCGCTTCCTTTATTCCGTTCAAATGACAACATACATCTAAACGCGTCATTGGCCACTAGCACATCTCTTGCCAAGCCAACCTTTTTTTCATCTCAGTTTATCTTGCGTGACAATCGGCTAAACGCGCATCATCTTTAGGGGTGAGGAATGATTCATGTCACTGTTTCCATTGTTCGAAACTTGTTACTTGTAGTCAGCCGTTGTCATGGTGACATTGCAAAAACCCAGGTCTGTTGCATCCGTTGCCATGCTACTGTACCAAGATGGAAACAAAGAATAAATGCTTCTTCCATGAGCTGGTCTAAAATGAGCATGAGCTTGAATATGAACACCGATCATTGCATGATTTACATACCATGATCTTCACACCTCTTTTACCATTGCACCTTCGTCTTCCCAATTGCCTTTCCCTGGTAAAGTAAAACTACTACCACTGACGATGATCATCATGTGGTCATCACATTCCTTTTCCCTTTTACTTTGAACGTAAATGTAAATCACCGGTGGTTCAATGCCAATTGTTGTTGTAGTTGATATGGTATTGCAAGGGTCTTTATTAGCGTGATAAACAGGAACAAGATAATGTGGATGTTGATAAAAGTGCTACTGTTGCATAGCTAAGTAGCAGCTCATTGTGAATGGTGATGCAAAATGCCATGTGTCACATAGTAGTAGTCACAGCTGGAATGTTCGCAGGAAAGTGGGCACTAGGAAGTGGAAGCTCTTGTTACAGCAGCAGCAGCAGCAGCAGCGTACCCTCTTCTCCGCATATTACTTTTACACACATACACACACACCCACACCTCCATTACAAATGTCCTTTCGAAGACTAAGGGTTCGCCCCGCCAAGAAACTGGTAAACACGAGAACTATCGCCTGTCAACCCTGCTGAATTATCAACACACTTCCATTGTTGTCATGGATAGGCGACTGTGGATCGTGCCAAAGAATACGACGAAGGCTTTGAGCTATTGAGTGACGCGATCAAGGAAATCTTTCGAAAGAATGCAAAGAGTCTCTCGTATGAAAGCCTGTATCGTACGACCTACAACCTCACGTTGGCTCAACACGGAGAAAAGCTGTACTATGGTGTCAAGGACGTGGTGGCCAACTACCTCGACCATGTGGCAGAAGAAGCTATTGTGCCTGCGTTTGTGAGTTCATCCGATGGTGCAGATGCCGGTGCCAACTTTTTAAAGACTGTGAAACGGGTGTGGGATGATTATACAACAGCCATGGACATGATTCAAAAATCCCTACGTTACTTGGTATGGTATCACCATCATTCTTGCTGCTGGTCAAATCTCTCATTGTTGTTGTTGTGGTGGTTGATAGGATACCAAACTTCCAAAGTACAATTTGCCACACGTCTTCGATATGGGATTCGACCTCTTTCGTGACAGAGTCGTTCGTTCCGACAAATACGCAATCCAATCGCAATTGATATCAGCCATGTTGACTCAAATTCATCTCGAACGTATGGGCGAAGTCATTGATCGTACAGCTATCAATTCCGCAGTCATCATGTTATCCGAATTACATGATGTTCCCACCAAAGAATCCGTCTATGTGGTCGACTTTGAAAGCCGGTACCTGGAAAAGAGCACATCCTTCTATCAGATTGAGAGTCAGAAATTGGCGTCGTCATGTGATGCACCTGAATTCATGCGTAGGGTAAGCTCCCATCATCTTGTATATATGAGGACATGCATGTGTTGATGAAAAACATAATAGGTGGAACAACGTTTGGAAGAAGAATATGAACGCACCACTCGATGCTTGAGCTTGTCGACTGAACCCAAAATCAGGAATATTGTCGAGACGCAATTGATTGCCAACAATTTGAAAACGGTCATGGAGGTAGGTCAACTTTGGATTGGAAGGTGATATACATATCATTGACTCGTGTATACATAATAGATGAAGAATTCGGGTCTCAACCCGATGTTGGAAGCGGACAAGTATGGTGGTAAGGATCCAAAAGAAGGATGTTCATGCATGGAATTTGTGATTTGATGGTTTTTGTAATAGACTTGTCAAGGATGTACAAACTTTTTTCAAGAGTGCCAGCAGGACTGAGCGAGATGAGGATGGCCATCAGCAAATACATTATGCAACTAGGCGCGGAGATCAACAAAACAATCAATGCAGATCTGGCGGTGAGCAAAGCGGCCAAATCATCGGAAAAAGGTGCTGGTGGCGGAACACAAACCGCCATTCGTTGGGTGGAGCAGGTGCTTGCATTACAAGAAAAGTTCGACAGGATATTGGAAAAGGCAGCCAACAAGGACAAATCCTTCCAGACAGCTTTCAATGAGGTAAATGATTGAGGATCAATGATTGAGGATAGCATATTAATACCATTCCTTTGTTTAGGCGTTTGAGCAATTCATCAACGAGAACCCAAAGTCAGCAGAATTTATATCTCTCTTCATCGATGAAAATCTCAAAAAGGGCCTCAAAGGAGTAAGTTTATAATATATGCATCTCTCATCATAGCCATTCGTTAACCTGTTATCGTCCTTTAGAAATCTGAAGATGAGGTTGATCAAGTATTGGACAAGACTATCACCCTATTCCGATTTTTATGTGACAAGGATGTCTTTGAACGATATTACAAGCAGCATCTTGCAAAACGGCTCTTGTTCAACCGAAGCGTATCCGATGACGCTGAACGTGGCATGTTGGGAAAGCTCAAGGTATGGACATTTGATGAAGAGAATGGAAAGAGGATTCTAACTTTTGAATTTCAAGAGAGAATGTGGCTATCAATTTACCAACAAGCTCGAAGGCATGTTCAACGATATGAAATTGTCATCCGAAATGGGGGGATTATTCAAGGATCATCTTGAGAGCGCAATGGAGGTACTTTTTCTTTGTGGCTAAGAATGATCCAATGTCATTGACTTACACTCCATACATTAGAAACCGAATATCGACACCTTTGTCACTGTGCTTACGTCGACCTTTTGGCCCATGAATCTATCTTCATCTCCCAAATGTATCCTGCCACCCGAAGCACTACAAGCTTGCAAAGCATTTGAGCAATTTTATTTCAGCCGACACAGCGGTAGACGATTGACTTGGCAACCCCAAATGGTAGGTGCCATCACTTCGAATGGATTATGGTGAAAGATGACTGATTAAGAGGTATCTATATAGGGCACTGCTGATATACGTGCACAATTCCAAAAGAGCAAGCATACTCTCAACGTCTCTACCTATGCTATGATTGTACTTATTCTCTTTAATCAAGCGGATTGCTTGAGTCTCGAGGTATGTCTACATACATGCACACGTGTCTTAACCATACGACGACTCAACCCTCTTTTGTTGTAGGAAATCCAATCCCAAACCCAGATACCCGATCAAGACCTCAAACGTACTTTGCAGTCGCTGGCGTGTGCAAAGTTCAAAATTCTGCTCAAAGAATCCAAAGGCCGTGATGTCAACCCTGGAGACAAGTTTATTTTTAATGAAGCTTTTACTGCCAATCTCGCACGTATCAAGATTCAAACGGTGGCTAATCGTGTGGAATCTGAAGGCGAACGTAAGCATACTCAAGACAAGGTGGATGAGGAAAGGAAGCATCAAATCGAGGCTGCTATTGTGCGTATCATGAAGGATCGAAAGACAATGGAACACAATCTCTTAATTGGTGAAGTCACGAAGCAACTGAGCTCCCGATTCTTACCAAGCCCATTGATGATCAAGAAACGCGTGGAAGCATTAATCGATCGTGAATACCTAGAGCGGAGCAGTGAGGACAGGTAAAAAGAAAACAAAAAGGTGAAAAGGACCATGTTTACTGAACCATCTTTTCTTAGACGGTCTTATCGCTATCTTGCATAATGGGATTAACATACGTTGTATGTCTGATTATAAAATGAAGGGAATAAACCCCAACCTTGTATACTTGCAGCATCGTCTTTTTGTGTGTATGTTTGGATCCACTACAGCGCCCGATGAAAAAGAAACTTTATCTCACATACACCAATTCCCGCTTCATAACAAAGTTTAAGACATGCATATCGATTGGCCATTCGAAAGGGTTCTAAATACAACTCTATTAGCATGAAAAGACATGCAACTGCTTTTTGACGATAGCATCTCAAGATGATGATGGGATGTGTGTGATTGATTGGCTGTGGATAAGGAAAACAAGGTGTGTGTGTATGCCTTCCGATGCTGCGTCCCGATAGGCGGATGAATGCACGCCCGAATCAGGTTAATCCGATGTTCCTACACACACCGTAAATGTCATTGATCTGAAAAAAAACATTTTGGAGAGGAGAGAGGGAGATGAATTTCCATGTCATCATGACTTGTTCCGATCTTGTCATTCCGAGGGTGATTGAATATAGCTCAACAACAGAGTTACCATTTACATACAATCACACATACACACCCCATGGGGTCCAAGCTCATTATTATAGTAGCATGCAATAAGGGCCATCAATGAATAATAATGCATGTTTGATACGAGATGTATCAAACCGCGACATAAACATAGGGCGAGGTATTCATATTGAAATGTGTTGTACTGAAAAAATATTGACGCGGAAAAGAAGGGAACGGCAGGTTGTAGTAATAATGTGCAACAATGAAACAAAAAAAAAGCAGTAGCGCTTATAAACTACTTTGACAATGAGGCTCAGGGAAGAAATGCACGTGAATGATGGATCGAATGCAAATTAACAAAAGCTTGAGTACCATTTGCTATGGTTGTGGGATCCTCTACATCAGCAGGGATGTTGATGCTCCCAGCATCAAGGGCACTTTGTCGGAGAATGGCGGGTGTGGTGTTGGTCGTGGTCGTGGTGTTGGTGGTGGTGGTGCAAGAGAATGACGATGATGATGATGGGGAATAAGAGTACTGCTGGTGGTGGTGCTGCCGAGGGTATGCAATATTGTGTTTATCCAACAATGCTTGCTGTATCCTTAGTTGTTCCTTAAGCAAGGCGACTTGTCGTTGATGCTTTAAATTGGATAACGTTTCCATATGATGATCTCGTCGTTGAATACGTAGCTGCAGCGATGTGAGTCTTTCTCTTAAATGCCGATTCCGCTTTTCAAGTTGACGAATGTATTCAGCCGCTTTGAACAAGATGGTGCTTTTTGAATGATGGATGTTTTTCAACGTGGGAATTAATTCGGTCATTTCCTTAAAACCTGTACGGATCGCGTTGCGTCGTCGTTGTTCGCTAGCAATGTGGTTGGCACGTCGTTCCTCATCGGTAAGTCGTGGCTGCAATGAACTATCTTCCTCCTCTTGTTGTTGTGGCTGTGGCTGCTGAAGTTGCTCTGATGATGATGGTTCTTCTTCTTGTTGCTGCTGCTGCTGCTCTTCATCTTGAGCACCATTTGGCTGCTATCATCGTTTCGTTAGCTGATCAATCATGACCATGATGATGCTTCTATTCTTACCATGCACTGCATTTTGAAATAAGTCTCGAGACGAAAGCTCTGTTGTTTCAAATGATCATTGTCATCTTCGAATGTGGGGATGGAAATGCTTGGTGCTGGATCAAAACCTGCGTCAAGTTAACAAGACATTGATGATGATGAAATACAAACAATAAAACTTACCTTCAAAGGTCTCATCATAATCAGCTATGGTCGACGTTCCAGAATACAGTGAAGGCACAGTGCCATTACTGGCGATACTGGATGTCTTGTGTGCTGGGTCGTAGTTTTCATCCATAAGTGGAAAGAGAAGGAGAACGTCAAAAAATGCATTGATCGCTTGCTTTTGAAACCACCCCGGAAAGGCCCGAACTCAGCTCATGCTTTTCACGTGTGCTATTCTTGGCTTTGTGTGTGTTGTGCGCCCTTTGTCTTTTTCCATGAGTAAGAATGTGGAGTAAATAGATTAGTTGGTGAGACATGAGCATGATTCACTACTCAAACGTGTGGATCTTTATCATCATCAATCCTCCCTCCCCCTCTTTTATCATGGATCCCTTGATACAACAACACTCGTTTCCCCGCCCCTATTTCTTTTTTTTCTCCCCCAATCGCTAGGATGCAAACTATATGCAGGCAAAAGGGCAAAGTAGGTTACAGTTGATGCGGGCTGGTACATTGAATTGAGCCGTTTTGGAAAGCGGGGTAAACACTCTTAGACATCATTAGTAACAGGCGTGGGAACGTTTAGTTCGAAAAGGGCAAATGCAATCCAGTCTGAAATTCTCATCATGTCGTATAAAGTAGCACTCGTTCTCGATTACTCCACAAGAGACAATCATTTCGCAAGCCCAAACATTGGCTTTTTTTTCTTCGTGTCACTGTAACCGAGTTAAGCATGATAATCACGCCGACAAAAGAAAGAAAGGAAACTATCAGTTGCCACCACCACATGTCGCTGGTCTCAGCACAATTTGCCCTCATCTCTCTTTTTTTTTCATTTGTTGTTGTCATGTCAACCATCAGCTGCTCACATCCACCGCTTCGGTTATGTATGTGCTTTGTGCTTTGTGTTTTGAGAAATCACCTCGAGTCCCAGACGCACGATATCATGGGTTATTGAATACCTCGTCCATGACCATAAATATACCTTTCGTGTATAGAACAATGACATCAACTGCATGCAAGATACAATGAAAGTTACATAACAATGACACCATCTTATTAGCAGCACGCTCTCCTCTTGTCGTTGTCGTATGAAACATGATATCGTCTTGAGGATTATCCATAATCTTAAGGATTGAACATGTCCATGTATTTTATATAGATGTGCATTATGAATAAAGATACATCTTCAGTGGTGGTGGCAAATACAATGGGGGATGGCTATCGGCCGTTTGCATTACGGCACGCGAGTAATTTGAATGACCGCGCTTAGTAGTCGTTGTTCGGTGCCAGCATGAAATATTACTTGTGCCTCTTTTCTATACACCAATGTTGGAATCGCTTGTCTCAACACTCTTGAATCGGGTACTGGGATCTTACGTCTCCAATCTCAACTACAACCAGCTGCAGATCGGGATATGGTCAGGTAACTTGATTAGGAACAACCCAGGGAGCGTTGGCGTCGACGATCCATTGACTCGTGTTATTCTCGTGTGCACTCATAGGCGAGGTTGTTTTACGAAATCTCAAACTCAAACGTGAAGCGCTCGATAAGCTGGATCTTCCTGTCGACGTCTTGGAAGGTAATGAATAGCAAGTGCATTACAAGATGATCGCTTTCTTACCTTGTTGTCTTTATATCAGGACACCTCGGGGAATTGACTTTGAATATACCATGGTCCAACTTGAAAGGCAAACCTGTCATGGTCTATATCAATGATGTCTATGTGCTTGCCGTACCAAGGAGCAAGTCTTCGGTAATAACACTTCTCTCTTTCTTTCAGCATGACGTTCTCTCTCTCTTATACACACTCTTAGATGACTGCCGAGGAAATGGATGAACGAGAATATCAGCAAAAGATGCGCAAGCTTGCCAACTCTGAACTATTGAAATCAGCTCATCACGACTTGGAAGATACAGCAAAGAACGAGACATTTGCCAATCAACTTATGACAAAGATTCTCAACAACCTGCAGTTCAGGATCACAAATATCCATATTCGATACGAAGATGATGTGTCAGCACCCGGTCATCGGTTTGCTGCAGGTGTTACTCTCAGTGAACTTTCAGCGATTTCAACAGATGAGAATTGGATTCCACAAACCATAGGCGATGCCGTCAACACCATTCATAAGGTTGGATTCATTCCCAGCAAAAAGAAAATATGCATGCGCTAATAGCGAAGGATTAGATGGCAACATTGGAATCATTGTCAGTATATTGGAATACGGATACAGAGTCATTGGCATCGTTGGAAGAGGAGGAGAGCAACCAAACATTCAAGCGATTGGTAAGAGTGATAGTATGATGGACGAAGACGATGACATCTAATGTTGGATACTAGATTGCCACCAAATCTCATATTCCTCAAGAGCATCAATATATGCTAAAGCCTGTATCGGGAACTGGAAGAGTAAGTTCGTGGATTAAATGGAGTTTATGGGATATTCATGCTGTGCAACAGATCAAGATGAACAAGAAATTCGGTGATGACGTTCCCAAGGTGGATGCCACATTGCTATTTGATGAGCTGTCCTTTATCATCGACAATGAACAATATCGGGATGCGGTGCTCATGGTCGACTTGTTCCATTCTTATCTCAAACGACAAAAGGTAAGGAGGAAAAGGATTCCAAACAATAAGGATCGTCCATCAACCCATCATTTTCTTTTAGTACCTTCATCTTCATCCCGGGGGAGACGTTACGCCTAAATCCGCACCTTTGGAGTATTTCAAGTTTGCCGGCAAGGCTGTTTTATCAGAGATCCATGACAGGAATTATCGTTGGACATGGGATCATTTTCGAAAGCGACGTGATGATCGACTTTTGTACATCGACTGCTACATTGCTGAACAATTGGATCGTGCCACGCCCGAGCAAAAGGAGCAATTGGATGAATTGGAGCATCGCCTTTCTTATGAAGATATACGTTTTTATCGCAGCATTGCCAAACCGAAATTGAAACGTGAAAGAGCTTTACTTGGTACGTATGTTTCACGTTGGTCTTCTTCATCTTTAGGCTTACATTTATCTTACAGCTGCCGAGGAAAAACGCAAAAAGCAACAGGCTGCAGCAACAAATCAGGCTGGTGGTGGAGGCTGGTTTAGTTCATGGTGGAGTGGTACAGCGGCTGCAGCGAATGATGGAGACCAAGAAGTAAGTTATTACTTTTGGCATCGTATACATATATACTCATTAACATGCCCATCATGTAGGACAATAATTTGGTCATTACTGAAGAACAAAAACAAGAGTTTTATGATGCCATTGAATACGATGAGGATAAAGCTGCTGCTGCTGCCGCTATTGATTTCCCAAAGAATGTATGTACATATCAATGTGATGATACAAGCAAGGTTGACTAATTATTGTTTATTAGACAATGATGCTATCATTGAGGACTACGCTCAACAAGGGTTCATTCACGATCAAGCGGGATCCGCACGCTGAGAAACCAGTTGAAATTGTTTCGTTGATCTTTGACACGGTCATGCTTGGTGCCATTCGATACGTCGACTCATTCAAGTTATCAGCAGCATTGGGTGATTTGCGCTTGTACGATGGTGTAACGAAGAACACACAATATAGGCAGCTTATTGGTGCGAAGGAAAAGGTGACAGAAGAGGAGGCACAAAAGTTACGGCGACGATCAAATGTGGATCCACAGCTGCTACGTTATTCATCAATCCAAGATCCATTTTTCTCGGTGATGTTTGAATATCGGCCTTTGGATGGTCGCGCTGACAACGCCGTTGCCTTGGTGATGCGCAATATCGACATTGTATACAACCCACATATCATTCGAGAAGTGCTTGACTTTTTCAGACCACCCGAGACGAGCGCTGATAGTATCAATGCATTGATTGAGGTCGCTGGAGATACATTGGAGGATTTGAAGAATCAAACAAGGGTCAATTTGGAATATGCGCTTGAGCAGCATACTACGTTGGATTTGCGAGTGGATATGGATGCACCCGTTATTGTTGTTCCTGAAGAGTATGTATCACAAGAATGCAAAAAGCAATTGATGACGAGGGCTAATCCTATTCATTTTATAGTTGTACTGCTGCTGATTCTCGAGGAATGGTTATCGATGCTGGTCATATCAATGTGGAAAGCGATCTTGCACCTTCGGATATTGTTCAGGAGATCAAATCAAAAAAGCCATCCGATTACACCAGTGAGGATTATGTGAGATTTCGATCGCTCATGTACGACAAGTTCGCTGTGCATTTGACCCAGACCAAGATTGTGGTTGGTGAATCGGTTCAGACATGTCTTGACCAAGTGAGGAACCCCAAGGAGGAGAACAACTATCTTCACCTTATCGATCGCATTGATATGTCCTTCCAGCTTGAAATGTGTATCGTCCAGAATCTACCCGATTTATGCAATTTCAAGATCTCAGGTCATCTTCCTTTGCTATCCGTCAACTTTTCTGATACAAAGTACAGGAGCATTATGCAAATTCCACATTTGATTGAAGCAACCGGTTTACTCAGCCATGATCAAGCCGATGACGTTTCAAATGAGCTGAATGAACCTGAAAATGTACAATTCGGAGATACGCATGACAACAAAGACATATCAAAGCTTATGCACACACGTCTATGGAAGCCATCAGAGGAATATGTGGTAGAGAGCGACAGCGATGATGAATCAAGTGATCAACTTGGATCCACCACAGCTGCAACAACGACTGTATCGGTAGCTTCATCAGGAGACAACAAGAAATCCAATGTCAATAAGCGGATATTCGAGCTCAATTTCCAAATGGATAAGGTGTCTGCCAACATCTTGGAATCACGAGGAAGTGGAAAGGAATCTTTGCTCTGTGATCTCGTTTTACAACATTTGTCGGTTGATTATTGCCTACGACCTTTTGACATGTCCGTCAACGTTTCATTAAAGTCACTCTCCGTCGCTGATAGAATGAAGCATGGCAATGAATTCAAATACCTCATCACATCCGATCAAGACGTATTACAACCTGACAGCAATCCCACAGCCGATACCAACGCCGATGCCAAAGAGCTTGTCAATGTACAATACATTCGTGTGAATCGATCAAGCCCCGAGTATTATGAAAAGTACAAAGGCATGGATCAAACAGCTACTGTGGCCTTATCCACTCTCAACTTTATCGTCACTCGAAGCTCGGTGTTGACTTTACACAACTTTGTATTGAACACCTTTGTCAACGACCAGCAGCAACAATATCCAATGGATGAAAAGAAGAAAAGCAGCACTTCTCACGATAGTCCAGATACGCAACGTTCGCAATGGCTTCACAAACAACGAGAATTACAGCAGCAGCAACAACAGCAGCAAAGTATTCATGTGACATTGCTTCTTGACAGTGTTAATTTGATTCTCAACAATGACGGCGTACGACTTGCAACAGCCGAATTATCTCATGGTGATATGACAACAGTGATTGCTAATGGCACCACCAAAGTAACTGCCAAATTTGCCAATTTGACATTATCCGATGATTTGACGGAGCATCACCATGGCGACGGAGCAACGATATCTTCCAGTGAGCAGCTTCTCACGATCCAAGGCGAAGAATTGATTGATTTCCGATACGAGACATTCTTGGCCGAACATAGTGAGACGTATCCTGGTTATGATCAATCCATTTTTGTTCGCATGGGATCAGCACAATTTACCTTCCTCGAGGAACCAGTACATCAGCTTTTATCGTTCTTGAACAAGTTCGCAGCAATGAAATCAGTGTATGATCGTGCGCGTCAAGCAGCATTAGAATCAGCTCAGCAGCTACAGCAATCTACGGCAAAGACTCACTTTGACATTGTGATTCAAACACCCGTTGTCATGTTCCCTCAAATGCATCAACATCCAAATGATACCGTTGTCGCACATCTTGGTGAAATATGGATGTCGAATACATTTGAAGACGAAGATGGAGGATGTTTGAATGCGATCAAGGCTGGTATCCGATCCATTAGTTTGACATCCAAGTATTATCACCAAACGCGTGTATCCGATCGATTGGAGCTTCAAACATTGCCTATTGTTGACAAGATTGATATTGATTTTGATATCAAGTGCATTCATCAGGCACCCAACCAACCAAGACCGGATATCGACATTGTTGGCACTATCAGTGACATTCGTATGCATTTGACAGATCGACAATACACGTTCCTGATTGATGCAGCAAACATGTTTTCGCGTGTATTTTCTGAATCACCTGATGCACAAGTGGATATGGTCATGTCACCACCGCCCCAGACCAATGAAAAGATGATACAAGCGTTGCAAAAATCGGATGAGGCTGGACCCAAGACCGAACATCGAGATACGGATCAACCACGCATACGTATGGTTCTCTCATCAAAGACGATTGGACTAGATTTATATCAACCTGGACAATCCAGCGCAGTCATTGATCTCTCTCGCGTTGCTCTCAACCAAAGTTCTCTTCAATTGAATATGCGAAAGGATAATACGATGCGTATCGATCTCAAGGTGACATCAATGACAGTGGATGATACCAGACCGAATATCAAGAGCAAATTCAAGGATATCATGCCATCGGCAGAGAATGGGCATCACTTCCAAATGCAAATGGATGTATCAGCACCTGATCCTATACGACATGCTATTGCCATGATCACATTGACTGAACCCAAAATTGTGCTCTCGCTCGATCATACTTTTATGCTTTATCGTTTCTTCATGACACCCTTTGGTCCTCGATCCACTGTAAAATCATCACCCTCTCGTCCAAAAGATCAATCGCAAAAGCAGCAAGAGCAACAACAACAACAGCAACAACAAGGAATGGACATCTCCTATCGCGTCAATATCATCAAGCCTGAATTCATCTTGATTGCCAACCCTGATAATGTGGATTCCGAAGCTGTTGTATTATCTGCTGATGAATTCATCTTTTCTCAACAAGCTGTCATGTCCCTTGCTGTTCGTCAAATTGGCATGTTTTTGTGTCGAATGGACATGCGTCAAAATTCAACCTTGCGCTTTATTCAACCATTTGATGTCACCTTGTCCATGAACAACAACAGCGCTGCAAGAGCATCGGGCAATCCAAACACCGAATTGGCAGTGGATGTGGAATCACTCGTTCTCAGACTCTCGTATCGTGATGCCATGCTCGTCACGGATATCTTTAACAAGGCCTATGAACTCTACAGCTCAAGTTTGGATAAGAATGAGCCCGCCGAATCGGCTTCATCCCCACAACAACACCAAACAGGTCTTGAAATGGAATCGTTTGTCAGCTCTGTGGAACAAAGATTAATGCATGAATCGGTACGTTTCCTTTTTGCATGAATCTTAAGAGAGATGAATTCTCATTGCAAATGTTTTTAGCTACGAGCCTCATTCCAAGGATTACAAATCGTCTTGATCGAAGAAGTACATGAGATGCCTATGGTGGATATCAATCTAAGACCCTTCAATGTGGATGTAGCCAACTGGTCTCGCTCCGTGAGTAGATACGCATGCATGCGGAAGTGGAATACTAGCTAATGCAAGGACATGCTTTTTATTAGCTCTCTGTGGATGTTGTCTTTTCGACCTACATGAATTATTTCAATGTCAAGAATTCCCACTGGGAACCTTTGATCGAGCCATGGGACTTCAAGTTGGAACTTTCTCGTCGCAGTACTCGCGCACAGGATCCATTGCATATTCGTTTGGTGTCGGATAATGATTTGAATATCAACATCACGCATACCTTCCTCGAGAGTGCATTGGCAACCTTGAGATTATGGGATAAGCAACGCCAGGTAAATCTCTCTCTATATATATATGATCACGCATAGCTTGGATGCATACTAATACTACACGCCCACATTTTAGCTTGCCTACAGCGGTGAGCGTGGAACAGTTGCTCCCTATCGATTGCGTAATTGCACCGGGTATCGTATCCATGTATGGAACTCTTCTCAAGGCAACCAATCGGGAGAAACGGTGGTCAAGACATTGGATGATGGTGCTGACATGCCATGGTGGTTTGAGGATTGGCGTCAACGTCGAGAAGTAAGTGTTATTATTACATAGCGTGGTTGCCATGCTAACTTTTCATCTTTTAGACCACTCGAGTTAGCAACAACATGTTATGCGTGCAATTGGATGGTGCATTATGGGAGACGATTCGCAATATATCGGTTGATACGCAAGGGGAGCACATGTACAGCCTTCGACCACGCATCAACAATATACAACATCGAATTGTGTTTGACGTGAAGCTTGTCAACAATCTCAAAATTGTCACTATCCGATCTGCCATGACAATCGAAAACAACACTCTCCTACCCATCGATGTTGGTATTTTGGATCCACGTGGACAACACTTTGAAGATAACATTGTCAAGATCGGTAAGCGTTTATTGATTGCCGTGGAAAGTATGGATGCTAACTTGTTGATCAAAAGCACCTGGTGAAAGCTATGCACTGCCTATTGAAAAAGCATACCACAATCGATTCTGTGTCAGGCCTGATGGTAAGTGTATGCAGGTTGCCATGGACGACAGGATACTAAATACATAATTTAACAGCTGGATTTGGCTATACTTGGACAAAGGGCGGGTTGCATTGGAGAGACTTTATCAGAAACTCGGAGAAGAGGACGTCCATTATGTGCCAAGCACAAAACGGTGACATGCCAAACTTTTTCTTCCAAATCCATGCTCGCCTCGATAAGAAGAATGCATTGTATGGTCATTATCCATTGATGGCTATCAGGCTAAGCGCCCCTATTGAGATCGAGAATCTATTGCCTTACTCATTCAATTTCCGGATCATTGACAAGACCGCCAAGCAAGATTTCAGCTCTTTCTTACGCACGGGTGGAACAACGCCCATCCACGTCATTGAGAATGGCCACTTGCTCTTGATGAATATTCACATGCCGGATTCGGGTACGTGTTGATGGTCATCATCATGTCACACACAATATTGACGTTTTCTACTATAGCCTATAGCAGCAGCGAATTTGCCATCATCAGCACTCGAGGAACGGATGATCTCAATTTGGATGACACATTGCAGCTCGTCAGCTCTGATAATACAAAGTTGACCCTTCGTATCAATGCTATGTAAGTGTGCCTATATGTGATGATGGTTTGATTATCCCATCCGCTGATGATGATTCTCCAAGGGATGTGCCTGATTCCGGGGGTGCTCGCAAGTTTGTCATTTATTGTCCTTATGTGGTGATGAACAAATCCGGATGTCCCATTGCAATCAAGACCAAACCTGCTTGGCAGAGCTCTGTGTTCTCGAGTTCTTCAGCGTCATCCATTTTCAGAGTCGACAATAAGGTAACCCTTTGCTGTTCACCCGATTCGATTCGTTTGTATTAATGATTATTAAAAATGTTTACATAGCCTGAGCCATACATGCTCTCTTACCCCAAGCGTGATAACGGCAATCGTTCATTGATCCAAGTAGGAGGTTCCGAATGGAGTGAGGTAAGCATAAATACAAATGGGATCGAATCATATGTCTAATTTGAATGATCCTCCTTTAGCCTATAAGTTTCGAAGCTGTGGGAAGTTCACATGGCATTTCGTTACCAAGGACCAACGGAGGTGATGAAGTCAACATTGGCATTAACATCCAAGAAGGACATGGCAAGGTTAGTAGCGTAATAGGAGCTAGGAGGACCATGGTGGATCCATTGGTTAGGCATTGGGCTAACATCTTTCTTGTAGTACAAGTTGACTAAGCTCGTCACCTTTACACCACGCTTCATCTTGATCAACCGCATGGGAGATGATATTCGTTACAGAGAGCCAGAGACCAGGGCTGATCACGTGCTCGAATTCGATCGGCGTATCCCGCTTTACCACTTGAGAAGAAATGCCGAAAAGCAGCTTTCAGTGAAATTACCAGGCATCAACAACACTTGGTACGAAACATTATGGATTCGGTCATCCATTTTACTTATACCAGTATTATAGGTCGGCTCCCTTTAACATTCAAGATATTGGTACCATCCACGTTCGTTTGGATAGCGCTGATGGCTCTACAGCTGCTTTGATGCGAGTTACAACCGTACTTGAGGATGCTACTGTGTTCATTGTTCTCAACAAGGAAAATGACGACGCTTGGCCTTACATGCTGGTGAATCAAACGGATGAAGATATGACATTCTATCAAGAGGTGAGAAATAAGGGAGATGCCTTTTACATGGTTGCCCATGATTAATCTAAATGTTTAGGATCCTGTTATCCTTCGAGATGATTACACCGATCCACGTATGAGGAATCACCGAACAAAGCGCTATCGTCTTCCAGCTCATACCTCAGTGCCCTATTCTTGGGATAATCCATCGCTCAAGGACAAAAAGATTATACTCAACATTGCTGGACGTGAACGAAGCATCAGTATGCAAGAAATCGGTAGCCAGCTTCCTTTCCGACATCAGGTTTGTGCACAATCCTTTGAGTATTCTTTTTTACTTATATGATTTCTATAGAACCGTTATGGACGTCCATCGATTACAGCTATTGATGTAAAGACCCACCGCACTGCTCAAGTCCTCTATTTGACCCCTTACAACCAATCCGAGAGCTATTATCGACCCGTATCATCCGGCCCATCATCTTCTGCCAGCTCAGTCGTAACAAAGGATGGCTTCGAAACTGTCAGCGTCAAGCATGTTATCAACTTTGTCATGGAGATTGGATTTAAGCAAATTGGTATCTCGATGGTCAACAAGCGATTACAGGTAGGTGATCATCTTTGGGTATGTAGGTGATATACGTGCTGATTGGGGTACCATAGGAACTTGCATACATTACTTTCCGTGGCTTTGAGCTCAAGTTGACAGATTCCAATATGTATCAATCAATAAGATGGAATGTACTTTGGGTTCAGGTATGTGAGGTACACTACAGGTACACAAGATGAAATCCTAATAGGAGATACGTAGATCGACAACCAACTCCATGGCACCTTGTTCCCTATTTTGCTCTATCCCACAAACATGACCAAGGAAGGAAATCAAGAAATAATACCCACTTTCCAACTTGGCCTTGACAGAGTTAAGGATGATAGTAAGTGGATTGTATACGTAATGAATATCCCATGACTAATTTTTGTTCTTAGCGCACGGTGTGCTTTATTTCAAGTATTTCTCGATTCTTTTGCAAGAAATGAGCTTGGAAATGGATGAAGGATTTGTGTTTGCCATTATGGACTTTTTCACTTTCAAGAACCAAGAGCCAAATGAAGCAAGTGATGATGATGATGGGTAAGCTTTGGATTGCTCGAACGAAACATGGTGATCTTATTATGTATCGCTCCTTAGAAAACAATGGGTATTCAGCACCGATGTACCTGATGTAACACCTTCCACCAACGACACCCAAATCTATTTCGAGATGCTCAACATCCAACCTATTGGATTCGACTTATCTTTCGTACGAACAAACCAAGCGGATAATGAAGATGAGAACTCTGCGTTGGCAAAACTCGACACTGGTTACAACCCTGTGGTGGATTATGCGCTCAATGTGGTGACGATGGCACTTGGCAATATCAATGTAAGATGGACAAAGGTGAACAGGATAGCAAGCATGCTGATGATACTTTATAGGGAGCACCTCTTCGATTCAATGCTTTGGCAGTTGAAAATTTGCGAGCTAGTGCATCTGATCTTGCCAATCGTATCTCGATCCATTACAGTGATCAGCTTGTCAATCAATACCATAGAATCCTCGGCTCAGCTGACTTTTTGGGCAATCCAGGCAAGTAGATCAAACGCATGGTGGTATGTCTTTATTGCTAACATGATTTTTATTACAGTGGGTCTATTCAACAACATCAGCTCTGGTGTAGCAGAATTATTTTATGAGCCATGGCAGGGTATCATGATCAGCGATCGACCACATGAATTGGGCGTTGGCATTGCAAGGGTAATACACCTATTGAATCGATGATACGAACGTGATGTGCTTATATGAATGATGATGATAGGGTGCTGGCAGTCTTGTATCTCGCACAGTCTTTGGATTCACCGATAGCTTCAGCAAGCTCACAGGAAGTCTTGGAAAGGGATTATCAGCCGCTACATTGGATCGTCGATACCAGCAACGACGATTGATGAATATGAACATGGCACGTAATCGACCACGAAATGCATTCAGCGGTATTGTGGATGGCACCAATGCTCTTGCAAATAGCTTCCTCAGTGGTGTCACGGGTCTTATGGTACGTCATGGCAAGGTATACACACTTTAGTTTGGTATTGATTACGTGTCATAGGTAAAACCTGCTGAAGGCATTGCTCAACAAGGTGTGGGTGGATTCTTTACCGGTGTTGGCAAAGGTCTTGTTGGGTAAGCAGGCTGTATATGGCGGATAAAGCATTGCACAACTATCGCTCACACACGTTTTCCTTTTAATAGTGCTGTAACAAAACCAGTGGTAGGCGTGTTTGATCTTGCCAGCAATGTGTCAGGAAGTCTTAGGGATGCTGCCAACCCTGTGGATCTCAATGAAATTGCACGTATTCGATATCCTCGCTTTATTGGTCAAGATGGTATCCTTCGCGTAAGTCTCAAACATATATACATGTTGGGAAATGGGATCCCTTATCTTATTTGATGATGATGTATAGCCTTACAATGCACAAGAGGCTCGTGCTCAAGGATGGCTCAAGGATGTGGCTGATGGTGCTTATCGTAATGATGCCTATTTGGCTTCTTGTCCCGTGCAAAGTGATCAACGCGTGGCGATTCTTACATCCAATCGACTTATGCTGATACGTACTCGTCCTTTGGCTCTCGAGTGGCAGGAACCGTTTACCGAGATACAAACAATCAAGGCTGAAATGACAGGCATTGCTATTTACCTGCGTAGCATGAGCTGGGAACCCTTTTTGGTCATCACGGATAAGAAGAAACGGGAATCCTTCTTTAAAAACATTGAAGATGCAGTGGTCAAATACAATGCAAACAGACGACCAAGCTTGTAACATCAACCAATACATAGATCAACTTCATGTGAATAAATACATATATATTACAGTGGACTATAGATTCATTGTCATTTCAAGGACGTCATACTTTTGCAGTACAGTTGGTATAAACTTCTTCTAATGTAATCTTCCAAGTGATAGTCAATGCAAACGGTAATCGTTGCCATGGTCACCTAATGTGGGAGGAATGGGGGGTTTCACCCCGACAACCAATCCGGTTGCTGTGACTTCGATAGGGGGTCCTCCCGATTGCAAGTACATCGGCTTTTTTAGTTTTCTTTGGCAGCGAAGACGAGCAGATGCACAGCATTAGCAAAGGTTATTGCTTGTTGCTTATGGTACAAGGGTGCGCTTTGTGATGTTGGGGTAGTAGTGGTATTTGCTTACGAAAGTGAGGGTATGCACTGCACTCTTTGATGTATCTGCTTGGGATTTCGTTTCTTTTTGTCGTCGACCAGGTAATATGGGTAATGCCAGTATGCGTGTGTTGCTCTGAAGTCTAATAGCTATATGAGCTTTTTTAGTGTTCTTTGGCAGCGAAGACGAGCAGATGCACAGCATTAGCAAAGGTTATTGCTTGTTGCTTATGGTACAAGGGTGCGCTTTGTGATGTTGGGGTAGTAGTGGTATTGCTTACGGAAGTGAGGGTATGCACTGCACTCTTTGATGTATCTGCTTGGGATTTCGTTTCTTCTTGGCATTAGCGTAGCAGAAAACAAAGACATGATGTATGTGGAGGGAATAAACGTGATGGGTAGGACCATTGTCCATTCCCTTAATACCTGTACTCAGTCAAATCCTTATCCTCTTCATGTTTACGTGCTTCCTTGTCACACTAGATATTCCTTTCACAATCTCGCTCTTCATTGCTTTGAACCCCGTTTCGTTGTGCCACTACTTTATTCAAATTGAAGATGATCATCTCTATATACATTCATCTTGCCCAATAAACATGCGAGCATAGACAGCTGTGTCACGTGATGCCGTATTGCATTGACATGCGACTTGGTATAAGTACTGTGCATTCATCATAAACATCCAGTTCTTCTACTTTTTTCAGACCAGGTGAAGCTGCTTGATGACCTTTGCGATCGCGTTTCTTGGGGGAAGCATGGCATTGGGAGTTGTCAGAGGAAGAGGAGCTGTGACCAGATTCAAAATGTTCGTGTATTATCTCCGAGTTGAGCAAAGGTTGCTCCTACAAAGGATGCACACCATTCATTAGTTACAGCCTCTGATGATTATATTCTTTAGCCCTTTTTACCTTACATTGCCATAATGTGTCGATAAAGCTAAAAGAAAGAGATGTGTGGGCGATGGTGGGCGTGGGCGAAAAAAGTGATAAAATGTTTGCCCGTTGATTGGTCGGGGCCTTTACGTACGAGTGATATCGCTGAAGAACCTGGGTGTGATTGGATGTCCATTTTTTAGAGTATGCTTTATTCCACGTCAATTAGGACGCATAATGAAGAAGGATGATGTAGAAGAAAAGACTAATGTAAAGGAAGGGTAAAAAGATTCTCTGAACGAACTCGCTTGATATGACGAGAAGCAATACTTGAAACTTGGTGAGAGTGAAAGGAATATCCTCGAAGATGCAAAACCAGTGATATAATCAAGGTGAGAATGCCCATCATCCATCTGCTATCACAAATCAGTTGATGTGATCAAATTCCACGAAATAAGACGTTTTTCGATGTGTTTGTGTGAATGGTCGTTTCAAAAAAGGGGAAGTCGATGGCGCCTCGATCGATAGACATAGTACACAAGCGCAAATGTTCTGGTCAGCACAGCTCCTGCATAAGCGTGATGTAACGGCTTCCCAAGTTTTACGGGTAGCTCTAATTTCTTCTCTTGGTGGAAGATCATCACACCCCAGAATGGCATTGAAAGGCTGTACACATAAAGGTGGTGTTCTAAAAATGATGATAGGTAAGATGCACTTGTAATACCCATAATTTATGTGGTGACCATACCGTAGAACTGCAAACCAATAGTTGGAGTTTCTTCGAACATGACTTTGCGCCCTATGGATTCTTGCTGATCAAGAAACGGAACATCTTCTTCAGGTTCAACGCTATCTTCTTGCGATCACCGATGAAGTGAGTGTAATTTCGTGTTGTTGGTTGTCTCGACACTTCTTCAATCACACAGATCTCCACATCATGTGCAAGTAAGAAATGTTCCCGGTCCATGTTTGGCGCTATTGCTCCAGCGTTCACCACCATCAAGGGGAGCCTTCAGTTTTCCACGCCTGCGAATCATGAGAGTTGTTAAGACAACATTTGAAATGGAGATAATTGCTGTATACAACATACCACACCCCCACAAAGGAGGATCCATGAAGGGATACGAGCAAGATTCACAAAGACAACAATGAACACAAGTAAAACAATGAATACCTACACATAGACGATTACAGAGAGAACAACGCATTGGTATGCTCAATTCAAGGGGCCACATAAAGGCTTTTCCTTCTCGACACGTACCCAATGATGGAGCTCTCGATGATATATGCGATAGACGGAAGAGATGTATGATGATAATGTTGTCAGCAGCCTTGTTTATATGTGCGTTGGGCGTGGGAATTGTTGTCCATGCAAGAAAAGAAGAGTTTGTGATTGATTGGAAGTGATCAAACAGTTGCGAAATCATCAACGACTGATAAATCCGCCAGCGACTGGAAGGAACCTTGTTGTGAGAGACATGCCGATCCCACTTGGAATTGTGTACTGATTTGCTCGAAGCAATGAGATCTGCAATGGCTTTCCTTGATACTGTGGTGGATTCAGAGGGCGGTGTTGGTTGACCTGGCAACGTATTCGTTTGCTGGTTACTGTAAAAATGTCGCTGTATCAAATGGGATGAATCAATGCACTGCAAGAGGTGGCGGATATTATCGGAGGATCACTTGTAGTTTTCTGCATAAACATCTTTGCTGTGCACGTGTCTTCAAGCGTCTTTATATAACGGCATCTGGTATCAGCATGATTGTTACTATTGCTATTGCACCTTTTATCCCGATCGGGCTTGGTCGTCATATGACACAAAAGACAATGTTTGTGAACTGCTATATATATAACATCTGCATGATTTGTCATCCTTGTTTTCGTTTCTTTTTTCCTTCACGCCTTCCTTCCTTTCATAATCATGGGGAAAGCCGATCTCTCACACGTCAAAGCGTAAATGCATCCACCACTACTACATTTGTCGTCAGCTTGTATTTACATTGTTGCAACAGATTAACTATTGATGTATTCGGTACCTGCGTTGATTGGCGATCTTGTATTGAAAAGGCACTTGAGGAAGCGATAGGCGCATCTCCTGCTCCAGATTATGCTGCATTGGCACACAAATGGCGTAAAGGTACGTTATGCAATCTCCATGGCAACGCGTGTATACCAACGTGTACATGTAAAGGATACAAGACAGCCATGCAACACTATGCAAGCCAAAAGGGACCGATTGATCCATATCCCAACCTTGACGACCTCCATCGCGAGCTACTCGACAATCTACTCGATAAGGATCCAGAGTTTAATCATTTGTCAACCCTTGTTGATGAATCGGCACGCACGAAGCTAACTCAAGCATGGCATCACCTGACCCCTTGGGAAGACACTAATCCTGGTTTGGGGTGTTTAAGTAACGAGCTGGGTCTCATCACATCCACCCTCAGTAATGGCAACATGCGTCTTTTGGTTGACATGAAAAAGTTTGGTCAAATGCCTTTTGATATCATTCTTTCATCCGAATTGTTTGGAACCTACAAGACCAATCCCAAGATTTACCAAGGTGCAGCTCAAATGCTTGGTTTACCTCCCCGCTCCATATGTATGGTTGCGACTCATTTGCATGATTTGAAAGCAGCCAAAGCAAACGGCTATACCACGGCATTCATCCCACGACCCAAAGAAGATAAACAGGTACTAGATGAGGAGGATTTCCAATACGTGGATGTAGTAGCAGATAGCTTTGTGCAACTTGCAGAGATCTTCCGTAAATGATTTGGATTATTGTACACATCCGAAAATAAAGCACGTAGCAGTCGTTAGGTCGATTCTTTGATTACATATGGTATCCAGGATTCCATGTATAGGCTGTAGTTGATTTATCCATGCACGGACCATGTTGATACAACAGATGAAGTAGTAAAGATTGCATGTTGGAATGATTATTAGAGTTGCTATTGAACCAATGAACGGGTAGTAAGAGTACGTTTATGCTGTGTGGGATGCGGCACGCATGCAGGTAACAACACTGCAAGGTAAAACTAGTCCATATTGCAACTCACAACCTGTAACGATAACGATACAAAAGACAAGTGAGTCGAACAAACTACAATCACAAAGGGGTTTCCAAGGTCAATGGCAACGCTCTTGATGCCAAGGCAACCACAGCAACACGCGCAATTCGAACACGACTCGAGCTCCATGGCCACACAGCAAGTATGTTTCAACACTGTACTCTCTTTATTGTTCCAATCAAACGTCTAGATCTTGAGAAGCTGTTATCTCCTTTGGCTTACACCTCTTAGCACGATCCAACTTCGAGACGCAGCAACGCGACACCCCATTTCAAAAGCTTTCTACCATCAGCCAACGTACATTAGGTCTCGATCAAGCCCTTGATCGTTCGCACCACAGCAATCAAGAACACGTTCATTGGCAAGCAACTTATATCACATAGGAAAAGTAGACAAGTTATTATAAAAACAATCTCTTTTTATTGTGAATAAAGCTAAACTAGCATGTGGCTGTTGGTTTCCTCGAGTTTCAAGACCCAAGTACTTACAGGAATGACCGCGTGAAGGTCGCCACATATCCATTCCCGCCTCTAAACATGGGGCACCTTCAACATGTGTCAAACGAGGTGGTTGAAAGCGGGGGAAACTAACAACCAGGTGGGGTTCACTCTCGTTGTTCACTCAAGGATAGTATCCCAAGCGCAATTCTCACTACATTGTGGAGATTATAACACCGGAGTGGGTCACACGGCGAGTGGATTCGCACAGCGGATAAAATCCATAGAGTAACGAGCGGGTACCAATATATCCACAACAAGGGACAATGAGCTTGCGAGGACAAAGAGAAAAAGATGCGATTGCGGATTCTCATGCCCATTTTATTTCTTTCAAACGGCGTTTAAACCTGCTCGAGCATCACGTGTCGAGGCTTCTTGATGCCTACAGTGTCATGGTTGCTAGTTCTTGTCGCCATGGTTTCATTTTGCTCGTCGTGAAAAAAACATCAAGAGGTCGACCCACTTTGCGAAATTTGGGGTTGCCCACCTCGATCGTGAAACTTGCACACAAGGTGCTGTTGGCCAAGCCGAGCATATTGTTCTCATAAAGACCCCACGCTTCATTGTAAAGTTTAGAGATACAGGCACCTTTATGTTTTACATATGTGCCGTAAGCGTGATGGAGCTGCTTTCTCCTAATGGATGGTGTCGACTGCACGAACGGAGCGATGAAGAGCTGAGTGAAATGGCATGTGATGGTTACATAAACACGTCCTTGACAGCTTGCTGCACAAATGGATGATGATGATGATTGCCTTTTGTAAAGGTACGTAAGTAAAACAACATCCAACCGTGAAGGTGTGTCAAGGTATGTGTGTATCACATTTGCATGTAGGGGAATGTCGAGCTGCATAAACCACTTTGTGTATGTAAAAAGATACGTCACTCATCCTGAAACTCAATGGAACTTTTTCTCTTCTCAAGCTCATGCCACTTCCCACTCCTCCTTATAGTATCACAAAAGCCATATACTTCTTGCATGACCGATAACCGAACCACCTTTACTATTCCCATCTTCGAAGCAATAGTATTGAATCCACAAGCTAGCAACGTCCAAGCGTGTAATAAATAAACAATGCTTTATTTCACCTAGCTGTCTTGCTACATTGGTACCACCATCCTCGTGGTCGTCGTCTGTCATCATTCGTACTCGTATCCGTCAGCAGTCGTCAATCTCATCGTCACCCAATATCCAAAAACACACAAGTTGAAGAGATTGGGATCTTGCAGGCTTCCTTTTGAATCTCGTTGTCGTTATCATTGTCATCGTTGTGAATGTGGTGATCATTGTAATCGTGAATGCGGTAATCATCGTAATCATCATTGTTGTGAATGTGGTAATCATCGTACCGCCATTGTTGTGAACATCGTCGTCATTGTAATGGACATCTCTATAAGTAAAAAGCAGCCAAGTTAAAATGTCGATTTGGCATACCGTTAGGCGATCCTCTCTGAGGAAGAAAGCAAATCAGAAGGAATTCACAAACCAAACCATCACCATACGAGCAACGTCGGACAATCCCTTGTTCTTGAGAAAGCACTGCACGAATCACGCAAGGCCAGCTCGATCCATGCCAAGGAAGGACATCACTTACGTAGAGTACAGGCTCATAGTTGTCCTCATTCATCCACTCCAAAGAAAGAATGATCCCCAATCCTTCCAATCATTTTCCCACCTCATGAAAAGAAATCCACAATGGGAAAGAACGAGCCTATCACGAGAAGAGTGTGTTGGTTCAACACATTCACAGCCGAGCTGTTGCAAATCCCCTTTTACCTCAACACGGTGACCATGCTCTTCCAAAAATCCATCGTCAATCGACCCACCCTCAACTCAACGCAGGCCTATAGAGCCCTGGACGCGTTCCAAGAAGCTTTTCCAGCACACTTGGCTAGTGCAGAGCGACGCAGCGGCCACTTGATACCGGCTGGGACTTGAACCCAAAGAGATGATGATGATGCCCCCAAGTTGCATTGCCTGACCAAAGAAACCTATACAATTCATTATTAGCACACATATACAATAAACGCCCTTTCCATTGTTTGTTTCATTGCACTTGCCTTTTCCATATTCATAAAGACGCGTTGTTGTTGGTTACTGGAAACCGAAAACGATGGTGTAGTAGTGTTGTTGAGCCGAAACAAAACGCCAAACCAGCCAACGTCTTGAGACCAAACTTGCCCTCTATACAAGCTAACACGTCAATGGATCAAGTTCTGCTGCAACATTGGACTCTGAATGTACCTGTTGACACCAAGCATGGAGCGGGAATAGCAACGAACAAGAGGAAGCAACGATATCGCCATGGCTACCATGCTCCATTCCTCAGCACTTGGACACACTTACTCCCTGACAATGCATGTTCAGAACTACATTAATACCTCACAGCCAACAAGAGCACTCTTTTATAGTACATTACCTTGATTGGGATGTCGTGAATGGGGTTAAAGCAGAGGAGTGAGAAAGAGAAGAGAAGCGTTGTCTCAAGTCGTGGAGCTGCCGTCCCCAACTTTGAATCCCCTACTGCTATTACACTGACGCCACTCAATGATCCCACACACACCATCCACCCATCTTTATCATCATCATCACCCTCACGATAGACAATAGGTACACGTAAATAAAAGAAATGATGATCCTCATGTATAGCAAAAGGGTGTGCCATTTTACACTTTACATGATAATGATGATCCAACAACAGCCATTGCCTTACTACCATGTCAGCTCGAATCATGAAAGTTAAATGATGGGCATGCTGGGGTGGAGCATGAGAATCGTTCGTATGCATTGGATTGGGCAACAAAGGTGAATGGGAGGGAAGGGGCTATTAGCCGGCAGTTTACAAATAACTTACCAATTTGATTCTTCTGATATTGGATGATGTTTCTGTGTTTGGGCATTTTTCAGTCAAATCTCATCGGATCAAGAAAGTTTAATGATGGGCATGCTGGGGTGGAGCAAGACAATCGTTCGTATGCATTGGATTGGACAACAAAGGTGAATGGGAGGACTAGGTTATTAGCTGGCGTTTTGAACTATTCCTAAATAGTGTACAAGAATCATGCATCGCCTGTGTTGAATGACTCAAGTTACACAAACACGCCCTCTGCATCTTTTGCTCTATTAT